ACGCTGTTTCCCCTAGCGCCCGCTGGCATAACAAGGAGTAATGGGCACAAGTTGATGGAGAGGAGGTATAGATTGGACATCCGCAAAAACTACTTCACAGTTAGGGCGGCTAGGAGCTGGAACCAACTTCCAAGGGAAGTGGTGCTGGCCCCTACCCTGGGGGTCTTTAAGAAGAGGCTGGATTCCTACCTGGCTGGACTCATTTGAGTCCCGTTTCTTGTTTTTGGGGTTTTGTTGTTCTCCCGCCCTGGCGGGGGGGTCGGGCTAGAAGATCTACTAGGTCCCTTCCGACCCTTAATCTATGAAACTATGAAACTATGATTTTGGGGTCCAACACACAAGAGAACTTCTGTGGTGTATGCACTTTTCCTACATAAGAGGGGTACTTGGAGCATCTATCATTGATAGGAACAACTGCCTCAAAAGAAGGGCAGGTGGTAAATCCAGGAGATCTGTACCTTGCAGGGTCTTTGTAAGCCTGCTACAAAGAGGTGGGAACTACAGGTTTCCAACTCAGAGTTCCAGGTGAAGAAGGATCTGCAGAGGGCTACAGGGTACAGGCACAACTCTCTTGGACACAGCTACTCAAACACGCATGTAGGACATGCGTGCCAACAATGAAATACATATGGACAGTGACTTTAAACAGAATGCATGTTACAGAAGATGTTGCTTTGCAGCTGAAGTTGTGCTCACAATGCAAATTCAGAAGACTCTGAAAATGCAGGCAGTCTAGGGGTAAAATGGAAACAGAGGTTGCTGCAATAAGCATAACACTAAAATCAATTAATCCTTTCATAATCTTGGCTGCAAGCTAAGCAGGGCTGGCCTTGTTCAATGTCTGTATGAGAAACTTTCAAGGAAGAACAAGGGTAGCTTCAGTATATGATATTAATTACCACCTCATTAGTAATTAGCATTCTTTCCCCAGAATGTAAAACCATCTCTCCTCTCAGAATATAGCTTGTTAGTTGTAAACAGACAACAGGTGGGTTGGCTGGAAATGCAAATTTTTTGGTTGAGAGTTTGGAAAAGCAGTCACAAAAGTCAGGATTTTGTATCCATTGAGTCCAGGGTATTAAATGCCCCAGCTGAATTCTAGTTTGGAAAGTGATACCTTGCGCTCATCCCGTGTAGGAATGGCACTAAAGCTTACAATTTCCCTTCCTGGGCTGAGACTGTTTTGTAGTAACTTTGTGCCTTGTTCAGTCCTAAAATGGGTATCACCCCCTGTACAAATGACAATTTGTGAAGTGCTTTGGAATCGCACAGGATCAGATATACACAATGCCACATAATACAATTTCACTTGCCTTCCTAAGAACTGCACTTCACCTCGATGATGGTGTGGAATTGACTTGTATTTCCCTGTGTCTCCTTCTGGTCGAGTCACTGTGTAGCCTGCATATTGCACTCTGCATTACAAAGATAAAGCTGACTGTTGCATTTGCTCCAACGTCATTACCAACACAGAATAAATCATGATCCACAATAAACTTATTGTCTGTAGTGAGTGTGCACATCCATTCACTAGCAAAATGAAATGGGAATATTGGAACGAGTTTAAGCTTCAGGCAACTTGTGCTATTTTCAATATACCAAGTTTTAGTCAAGAAGTTCAGCTGAGCAACAACTTAATTTCTATGGCAAAGCCGAAAGCCAACAATTTCACAGGTTCCCTACGACAATAACCAATGCTCCCTCACTTTATTAGCCTCGGATCAGTTTTGTGTTAGCAGGCTGAATTCACTAAAGCAAGGTACCCATTTATTTAGGCATCTTAAAGTAGTGCAATCACCCCAGTTCCAGCTGAAAGAGATATGAAATCAAGCGCACAATCAGCATTGCCTGGAGAAAAGAGAAGGAGGGGATACTTCCCTTCACAAAATTATATGTCCCTCCTCTCTAGCAGAGGACAGAGGCTGGAGACTTCTGAACTTGCTTAAGGCTGACAGTTTAAGTAAGCAGGCTCAGAAGCAGTCCAAAACAGTAGGCAAAAATCAACTGCTTGTCTTTGGCTTACTTTAGAGCAGAGGTAGGCACAGCCCCAAGAAGTCTAATTGTCAAGAAGCTGGAAGCATGTACTGTACACCCAGTAGCTATGTCCCCAACCCATGCGGCAGTATATTCCATTGTTAGGCCAGACAACAACAGGTTGTAGCACAGAATTTGCCCCACAAATACCTAGAGTATTATACAATATTATATCTGTACAACACCCTGCCCACCCCGCTATTCCTCAGAAAGTGGACTCAAGCCAAGATGCACAACAGTACCTGTTCCAAAGGTCATCATCTTCTCCACCCCAGCCCCAGAATGCATTGGGGAAGCCATTAATTTTCTGGAACTGTACCACTGTTAAGCCACTCACTCCTCCAAAGAACTCATTGTAGGGTAGCCTAAATAAAAGAGAGAGAGAGAAAAAGAGTTAGTCAAGCTTATTGGGAACATAATTTGTCACAGTTCAGGACTGAGGCCATTGCCTATTCCCATCCTATCAGGATATCTGGACAGAGATTAACTAAACCAAGCCATGGGTACGCTTGTTTCCCTCTGCCTTAGTGGGAGTGGCTTGTGTCCCTTGTGCAAAAACTCTAAACCAACTTGAATTTGACCCTCTTCCCTTTTAAGAGGCAGCACTGCCAAGGGGGGACTGTACCAAGGGGGGAACTGTACCAAAGAGGAACACTGGTACTTACAGATACATATATTTATCCAGCTTGGCTGCAAAGTGTCTTGGCATCTGTCCACATCCATAATAGTTACGGTCATTTTCTGGTATGTGGTCCACATCGTGGAAGATGAGACAATCCCAGTCCAAGTCCTTCATTGCTTCCCGGAAGCCGACATTGAAGAGCATGGCACGGTTAAAAGGTTGGTTACCAGCCTAGGAAATGGAGTTATTTCTCAGAGGAGTACCAAAATATAATGCACTTTTCAGCATCTATACGAAGTGTGGTGCAGTAAACCCGAGCCCTTCATGGGCTCATCATAAGCCCCCCTGAGCCTTTTAGGAGGAATGTGGCATACAAATCAAATACATAAAACACCCTCAAAAAACAGGGTTTTCAATATTCTGGGGCTGTGCAGAGCCACAGCAAATAGATACTAAAGCCCTTTTACCTCCAAAGGGTGCTGCCTCTCTGATCAACTGTATAGGATCACTCTGAACTCCAGCTGATTAGAGAAACAGTGTTCACTAAAGTCAGAGCTGCAGCAAACAGCTGAGAAGACTGAAATTAATTTGGCAATGTAAGGCAAGGAGGATGCAAATGATCCAGGTTTTACTGTATAAATTCTCAACGTTACATGTAGAGAACAGGTCTTTATTCAAGTGTGCGTGGAAAGGCTAAAAAGATGGTTTTAATTTCTCTAGCCCGCTCTCTCAAAGGCGGTGGCTACTATAACAAAGAAAAGTACAGGTCTACCAAAGCCATGCTACAAGCAGCTTTCTACAGCTGAGTTACAAAAAAGTTCTGATCATCTTCTCTCTCTACCCGCTTTTTCCCCAAAAGAGGAAGGACAGGTGGGTTTTGAAACATGTGGTAAGGATTAACAAAAGGTAGGTAGTTTGAGTGGCTTGCGATTTGGAAATCATTTCCCCATCACAATTAATTCAATTTCGATCTTCATTAATCAAATCTTTCCTGTACTACATGGAGCCAAACCCATTCAGGTGTTCCAGACCAATATGCCATTCCCATGGCATTGTGTTAAGAAAGGCCTGGTTACACATACCAAGCAATATTAGCCAGAAACCTTTGAAAGCCTGTGGCATAAGATCTGCAAGTGATAAATAAGGCACACTCGGGACACAACTTGAGCATTTACCATTATTACACAATGCCTACAATGAAAAAGGAGTCAACTTGTTGCTGCATACTAGAGCCCAGGGAAAAAGATACAAAAACAAGCTTCTTGTTCTAATGGTTATTTCCACTGGCAAAATACTAGCCTGGAAAAATGTGGGTATCTACAGGAAGTGGATCACTTACTTGCTCGATGATATAGAACGCAAACTGTAAACGTTGGCTCTGAAGCATTGGAATAAGGTGCCTAAAGAGAACTGGAAGATGCTCATAACGATTGCGGAATGGGATCAGGATTGCCACCTAAAGAAAAGGCAAGCAGATAATTAATACTATCACTGGAAAGCAGCTGTCCTTTAGTGACCTACATACCACCAGCCCAAGGCATTGTCTGTGTCTGATGCCATGAGTATTGTTACCTACATCCACCCAACATAGATAGCGGCGTTACAAAAGGGCTATCATCTAACTCTTTTCTCAAGATGCCGAGACAGTTCCTTTAATGCACTGTGCAGCATGCTGGGGCACTCCCCATCCCCTCACACATCTCCTTTGCTTTGTGGATTTTAGGGCTTTGGCTTTAAAAAGCACTTACTGCCTGGAGGATTACACCCTTTCCAACTGCTGGTGATAACTGACACTGACAGCACTGGAGACTGAAATAGTCTCCCACTAGGGAATCAGAGCATGAGCCATGACAAAAGTCATCTCTAGCACACTGCCAACCCTGTACATCAGGGAGCCCATCTAGCAGTAACGTACAAGTCCCAGGTCATACCGTCTTCCTGGAACAATTAATGCCCCAAAGCAGAGGTGGTCTTAGTGATCTGGACACCTGTCAGCTAGGAATGAGACCAAGTAATTCACTGCACATGAACCATTACTTGTCATCAACAGGCAACACCTTTCAGCAACTATCAGTTGTGATACACATTTGAATTACTGGAGTAGACAGATTCCACAAGCCACTGGTAGCCTCAGAAGTTCTTACAAAAAACTAGATACTGAACCAGTCAGTCACTGAGGAAGCCTTTGGCTGTTTTCATCAGCATATTTCAGGCCTGTTACAGGCATCCTTGTACTCCTTATTAATATAACCCAAGGGAAAGGCCAAATGTAAAACAAAGAACAGTTCTTGGTAAGTTCTTTGCAACTGCTAGAAAGATATCCACTGGATTGACATGATATCAAAAACTTTCATTTTGCACTCTCTTGTACTGAGAAATGGTGGCACATTCACAGTGGCACATGACTGCTCCAAGTATAGTTTACCTTCCAACGAGGCAGGCAGTCATTAGGTTTCCAATGGCCTCCTTGCTTGATGGAAGGGTCTTTCGAGAATACTTGATGGATATCTTCCATTGTAATTTCACTCATATTTACATCAACTGGACCCTCTGTGCACACAATGGAAAGAAGTGTAAGAAAGGCAAATGCTCTCATTTGGACAGGAACACGCATCTCTGGCTTCTTGACTAATTTGATCTCTTGGCTTCTACCCTACCCGTGTGTTCTGTCTACTTCCTTTTCCTTTGCTTGTTAGTAAAGCTGCTTGCAAAGCAACTATTTCCCTGCCAAACATTTAAAAAAAATTTGATGAGGAAATCCTGCGAGAGTGTCTCATGCTTCCATTCATCTCTGCAGCCTGTCTCCTACTCAGACATCATCTCCAAGGTCTTCATCCTTAGGGGAGGTATTACATCACAGAAGGTCTGTGGTCACAGTTTATCATGAGAGATGCCTGAATAGGGGGCTTGTCCTATACCAAATGGGAACATGAGGAACTGCAGTAGGATTCCAAATCAGAGCAAAAAAGAAAAGTCCTTAGCAGAAACAGATGCTTCTCTCAAAAAAGTAAGCTTTGGCTTCTTAAAAAAAAAAACAAACAAAAAAAACAAAAAAACCCCAATCTTCTGTTCAAAACCAGTTTTAGGGGAGAATTTTTGATGAGCCCTACTTATCACTGAGCCCTACTTTACTCTGTGACTTTCCACCCCCTGTGTTTCTTCAGCTTAGCCACTAATTTTTAGCCACAGGCCAAGGAAGAGAGTTGCTCAGTGAAATTCAAAGTTAGTTTAATTAGAGGATAGCTCAGTGGCCCAATTCATTGTATTCCACTGTTTCTGGGACTAATCCAAGCTGGAAAGCACAGCAGTAGCCACAGCAGAAAGAAGTAAGGGAGCAAACACTTCTGTCATCTTACAGCTGCTGTTAAATGTCCCAATGGAGCAGTGAGGTATTGAATCTTTTCACTGATTCATGTTGCACAATCACTCTCTTGTTTCAGTTTGTCAACTGATGGGCTATTGGTTTACAGGGAAAAGTGTCTCAGACATAGAGCTTGATTTCTGGGATCTGGTAAACAACAAATTTCCAAGGAGAGACATTTGCACTTGCAGAACAGCATACCTATTCATTCCTCATTCCCACCCTTCCTGACAGTTAAATGTAAGAGGTACAATATATAATAAATCTGTAGGTAAAGAGTGGTACTAGAATGCACAATACAAGAATCTGCAGGAACAGACCAACCAGGCTCTGGAGCATGTAAGTAAAGTGTGTGGTGTCTGGGAGCCAGGAATAATATAATCAACATGACTGCCAAACTCCCAAAGACTACAGTTTATACCACAAAGTCTGTAACAAGAAGGTATCTTCCCCCTATTCCCCTCCTACCTCCCGCTCAGAGGAAACAGGTATTTGATGGGCTGCAACCAGAAGGAAGGGAAGCATGGGTTGCAGGGAAGGAAGGGAAGACAAGTCACAGCACTACTCACTCATAGAAGGGAGTCTCTCGGGACAGGTATGGTTTGGAAAGTAGGTAAAATCTTCAGGAAGAAAAGTTGTGGTTTGCAGGAAGGTTTCATTGTGATTCAAATCAAGAGGATAATCTGGGGGGGGAAACAAAAAGCTGCTTGAGCTTTTAATCTTACAGCTATCTCCAATATTCAATTGCTAACAAACCCATTCAGCTGGTTACTGCACATGGACAAGGCATCAATGGGAAACTGCCTACAGTTTGTGATGCAGTCTCACAAAAAATTTGTTCCTTGAAGTATCACAATCTCCTTGACCTGGCCAGCCCAACAGATGAGCACTGTAGGGGGTAGAATCGTAGGGACAATCCCAAACATTTCTTCATAGCAGAATAGCTGTGACTAAAACCTGTGGAGCAGGCATCTGGGCGATGATATGCAGGAACTCAGACTAAACCATCACAAGGGCCCCTTGTGGCTTCCAATTTATTAAATGATTTTCTACTGAAGTCTTTAATAGACAAACTGGGCTGATGCAGGTTAGCCAGGACAGGTAAGTTTCTGCTAATACTTTGTAGACTTCCAACGACTGCAGAAGGGAGGCTGAAAGGCAAAAAACCGTCCCTGGAGCACTCCTTTCCTAACAAGGGCACATACAGGAGACTCAGTAGAAAAATATCCCAGGAGCTGAAGCACATGTGCATTCTGGCCCCCGGATTGAAGAGCTCTCCAGCCAGGGGGCACTACAGGGCTGCTCCTTGGCCCACCCCTACCCTTAGAGAAGCCCATTACTTGACAGCCTGCCTTCTCCCCTTCCTGACAAGGGGACAGGTTGGAAGTAGGCAGCCTCTGGGTTTTAAATCAGTGAAGCCCATATGGGTTGTACATGGGGAGACTTAAAGGCAGGGGTACAGAGAAGTGGGGCCAGGGACAGCTAGGGCCACTTCAGTTCAGTCTCACAGGCTTTAAATGCAGCACATGCAGCATTTAAAGCCTGTGAGACTGAACTGAAGTGGGGAGAGGCAGGGACTTCGCAACCCTCACTCCTGACACTGGCAAGTTGAAATAAGTGCCCACAGGTCCAGCCACAGCTGACAATTAGCTGACTGTCAGCTCTGGCCTCTGGGACTGCACCAGGGACTCTAACAGACTCAGGTGTAATCTAGGGCTGGAGCTGACAGTCAACTTGTTGTTGCTCCCAGCCCCAGGCCAGTTTGAGTCACCAGTGCAGTGAGCTGACAAATCAGTTGACTTAGCCCTGGCTGGGACAGCCCCAGGTCCAGTCTGAAGGGCTTCCTCTGGTGGGGATTTCAGACCTCACCAGGAGCCTCTGATCCCCCAGGCCACAACAATCTAGCTACAGCTACTGGGCATGGAGTCTGAAAGTCCCTGGTGGTGAAGCTGCCTTGGTGCATTCCTTAAAGCTGTCTGGGTGCCACAGACCAGGTTACCTCTCCCCATGGTTTAGGTCTGAGCACCAAGAAAGTTTTAAAAGGCATGCCTGCAACTCAGCTGCAGGTACACTCTTTAAAGCTCCTCATGTACCAGGACCCACAATGCGAGGTATGGGGAGCTGAGAACTCCTGGCTCCCCAGTTGTGTCTTCCACAGGTGCTCCTGGAACTTAAAAAGTAGGCATGCAGTTGAGGCTCCCAGCTGCACGCCTGCTTTTTAAAGGCCCAGGGTGCATTGAGCCTGAGACTGAGGATACATTTCCTGATGTCAAGCCCACAGCACCTCCCCCCTCCCCCAATCTGCCTCTGGGGATTGGGTGGGACTGCTGAGACCAGGAGCCCATGCTGTCCCCAGCCCAATCACACAGCTGCACCTTGGTTGCCCCATGCCAGATCTCAATGCTCAGATGAACATCAGGATCTGTTACAGGTTAGTCCTGACATGCCACATGTTCAATTTAAGGCATGATACAGACAAGCCACAAAGACTTTACACATTATAAGTGTAATATCTTTGTGGCGTGTTTGCTGTATTATCATCACACTATAAATTCGCTTCAATATGTGGCTGTGTTACTATTTAAAGAGCGATAAAATTTTAATTGCATGTGCCAGGGCCCTCAGTGATATGTACTTCTTTAAATATTTCTATTATTTTCAGTCTTTACAGTAAAGCTAGTGTTTACATTCTTTCAAACTAAACACTTCAGTTTCTCTTATGCAGGAAAACTTTCCCTTTAATTATTTTGGGTTTCAGTTGCAGAGAAAAATATTTTCTTTGTTTATACTAGTTCAAACTGGGAGTTGAAAAGGCAAGAAAGATTTTTCTCCCCCTCTTCCACCTGGTTTTTATTGAGAGACTGCAAGAAAGCAAGACAGGCCATGAACTTGGAAGTTGTGGGGACAGATCCTCAAAAGGATGTATACACTTACAGAAGGAGAAAGGCAGCTTAGTGGAATTTCTAAAGGGTAAAACAGCTCCTACTAAAAGCAAATAGACTTGAGGTATCCAGTCTGCTTAAGAACTTCTGAAATCCCAGTAGGTCACCTATCTCCATCTATAAGAATGCAAATATCTTTGTTTTTGATCACTGTGGACCAGATTTTCAAATTGTCAATTCTCTAGGTATGTTTAGTAAATCAGTTTTTAGCATATCAAGCCAAGTTTTGCATTTACTTTCCCTATATATCCAGCACATGCAAAGTATTTTGTCCAACAAAAACATATTCTAGTTCCCATCCCAGACTAACAAAAATCCAATAAATAAAAAAAAATTATTTTCTAATAAAAGTGTAACGGGTAAATCTGAATCAACGTAGTTTAAGATGATAATTATTCAAATAAGCATAGGTAGGTGTGATATATTCTCCTTGTTAGTTAAAATACAAAAGGTTATATTTGGTTGCAACCAAACATGTTTAGGTTTTAACAAATGAGAATGACTCTTTAGGAAAAGAAGCAAATGTGACAAGTTATTTAAAGGGGGGAAAAAAAAGAAAAAAAAAACCCAATCATTTGAAGCAGGTTCTCTGCGTGTGGACTTAAAATGGTTAGAAACCAAACCAAGCCACTTTGTGCTAACCCACCATTCCCCTTCCAGTATTTCAGTTTCCTTCCTTAGGTTAATATGTGGCATCCAGTGTCGTTAGTTCAGTTCATCCGTTAGATGGTGCAAGTATTACCCCATCTTATTCAAAACGAGAGAGCAAGAGAGCCCACAATGGACTTGCAAATGAACACCAAAAGACCAGCATTTTAGTGCCTATCTTGGGTGTGTGGTATTACTCTGATCAAATTTAAATAAACAAATTACCATTAAAATAGTGCGTGTACTACGTGCTCTGTCTTGCAACACCCAGCTTGGCTCTCTACAGATATATTGTGCTGCTGTATGATGTCCTCTCTGCACTTGTGGCCTCACATTGATAAGTATTGCATTTTGTGCTTGCCAACATATAAGCAGAAGCTGTAGTTCATTTAAAAAGGGACTTAAAATTTAGTACCCATTACTGAAGAACAACAGCTTGCTCTGGACAGTGAGGAGGGAGTGCTTTGTAAATAAGCAAGAGTTGTTGAAGCAAAGGAAGCATGTTGGAGGCAAGAAATTTAGTGCAGGCACATACAACTCTGCGAAGATCACAGTATGCCTGGCCTTCCAGGTTTCCTGCTTCAGCACTAAGCTGCATTGCATCCTTTATTATGAAACAACCTGGCACAGCATCTGTTTAAAATTATGCCATCCCAAGCAAAAAGTTAGGGAGACTGACAGTTAATGTGGTGGTGCAATCTGAAATGTACATCTGAAGTCTATCAGAATTCTATAGGACTATGGCGACCCTAATTCAATTATATATTTGGGCCCTTATCACAATGCTATCAAATGCCTTCCAGAAGTGTATTGATATGACCAGCATCTGTCATGTATACTTTTTTTTCCCTTCCTTCCTCTTCCCAAGGGAAGTTTGTATGAAGATATTGTGTTTTTTTAAATCAATGTTATTTACATACAGTGTGCTGTACAGCTATATCAGCAGGGTCAAAGTCAAAGAAGTGTGTCTTAGAATAAAAAGTGATGGCCCTGTCTCTGTTTGGGAAGGCAGACAGATCTCCCTAGGCAACAGGTCTAAGCTTTGAACAGCCTCATTCACTTTAGTGGATATTAACTCAAATGCCAATGACACCAATGTCAATATTCTTGCCTCCTAAGAATAATAAAATAGCTACAAAGGAGAGGAATTATTGTGAAGATTTACACCCGTTTCAAAAAAATTCAGTGCTCATCCTGGAAAGATGCAAATACGCAGCTAATGAAAGGCATAACCCATATGTCTATAAGAAAATGTGTAGGCCTTTAACATGACATGAAGTGAGCAAGAAAAAGGGGGCAGTTCATTTTATTTCTTTGCCTTCTAACCACGGTTTAAACTCCCACAAGTTTGAAAATAGATTAAAGCAACTTTTTTATGAAACTTAAAAATGGAGTGAATGGATTGAGTTGACAAATCAAGGTTAACTTTTAAATTAGGCAGATGAGACAACCTATGTGACAAGGGAATTCACTTGGGGGCATCTGAGGACTTTCACTCCTCTATTTATAGCAGTCAATCTAACCATAGGGTGCCAGAGCCTTAGAAATGGTGTGACGTCTTAGACCTCACAGAAATTCCAGAGATTTCAAAAGATTAAGCTGAGGGAGGACCTCGGTTTTTGCTCATAAGGAAACTTGTCTCAAAAAAACCTCTTCCCTCATTTGTCCTCACTACTGAAACCCAGAAAGTACTTCAAGGCTTCCTCCTCAGAGCTGTCAAGCTTGGCTGAAATGCACTAACACCTACTCCAGCATAATGTTAGAACATAGCTAAAGTCTTAGGAAATAATGACTCACTCACGTGTCAACAGTGAGAAGGGCAGTTTCAGTGGAAAATCAGTTTACACAGTAGTGTCACCTTGCCTTGCCTTGTTTCAGTTATAGGAAAAAAATGCCTTGATCTCTCCATTATAAGTAACTGTTTGCTGTACCCTGTCTTCCCTAGCAAAGGCTTGATATAACTTTACTACAAACTTCCTAGAGTAGACATGGCTAATACCTGCAAAAGAGGTGGAGGAGAAAGAACGGGAATGTATAGAAAGGGTCATGTCATAATGGAATTACAAGAGTTGACATATGAAACGACGTCAGTACCTCCAACTCCATATTGCTGAACCTGGATCAACTATTAAAGTTTTGTCTTGCAATGACACAAACATGGGAAGTAGGAAAAACTTAATCCAATTTGGCTCACTGGCCACGGTATAAGTTGATGTAACCTTTTATATTCAAACTACCTATTAGCGTAGTGTTCAGATGCCCAAAGTTGCCAAACCAGCACTCCCATTATAATTAGTTTAGTAATTAAAGATAGGGGCTTGTTATAGTCGGAATCCCCAATTCTATTCCAAGTTCTTCTTCTACTTCTGGCTGAACTTCAACGACGTATTTATGTTCTTCTTACACGTAACGCAGTGAAACTTGTAAGTACATGTTTTTCTGTGTACCTGGACCAGTGTCTTATTTAAGCACTTATGAGCATGCCTAGTCAGGTTTAAAAATCAAGCCAGACATGCATGTGGACAAAGTCTGAAAGCAGAGGTTTTGAAAATGGGTTGTTGCGTTAGTCCTACAAGAAAACAAAATAATTTTTCAGGGTGCATATGTTACTTGTACATCCCTGGAAAGCAGAAGGATAACAGTCATTTTGGATTTGGTAAATACCCCCAAATTACTAGAGGAATCTGACGAAAAGACCGCACAGAAAAAGGAAAATAATATCCTCCCCTGTTTTGTACTGACCCATATATATTCAGCTCCTTCCAGAAAAATGGTTTGAACTGACTCATTTTCCAATGCTAAGGGAAACACTAATCAAAGTTACTTAATTACTAAAAATGTACCTGAGTCATTTACGCTGCTGTTCCTCTTGGCATACGCGCTACGGACTACCTGCTCATACACCTGAGCTCCTATTGTTCTCATGTTTTCACGAATCATGATGCCTTGGGCTTGCATCATGAAGAGGTAGGTGTTCACTGCAATAGAAAAAAAATATCAAAATTAGCAGCAACTTCTTTCAAAAGCAAAATTTAAATCATCAAGCCTTTTTAGAGCCATTTGGTTGTGCTTTACTTCAATTTCCTCTTGCCAAGATGTTCTCTAGAGAACATCATGCCGAGGTTACCCTGCAAGGGACAGGAAACGTCACGCATTATTTGAGAAGATGACGTCCAAGGGACATTTTGAAATGTATCTGAGAACAAAAAGGATTTATACTCTTACTCCTGTTAACCCAGGACCATACTACATTTTGAGAGGTTGCATTTCCTGCTAGCGTCCAATATCATTCTGTGAGGTTTTCAAGTAAACCAACAAATATCAAGAGTACTTTAAGTGAGGACTAGGGGGTAAATTAATAGGATTTCTGAATAGAAGCTCTCCTGTGACATGGTTACCAAGAAATCACTGCATGAAGATAGAATTAATTTCATTTTCATATAGCCTTCAAACTCACCCTCACACAATGCGTTAGTCAGTGAACTAAAGTTATAGCTCAAAGGTGTCTACAACAGTGCTATATTATAGCCTTCCAAGCAGCCAGTTTACATCTAAGCATTCATACTGACAAGTTTCCTACTTCCATTGGGAAAAAGCTTTATGGGTTTTTGTTTCAGCAAAGTTTTCTTAATATTTGCTTATGTGTACCCTCTGTCTCGCACATTAACAGTTGTCCCTTGCCATAGTCAATATTTATATTATGTCATTCCACTCATCCCTGAAACGGTCACTGAGAAGAGGGTGCAACAACCTGAGTGTTATTTGGCACTAAGCAAAGGTCTCACCTCTATAGTGTCAGAATACATAGGTTGGAGGAAGTCTCTTAACCTTACAGTGCCAGCTCTGCTTTTAGAGAAATCTTCCCTCTCCTGCTCTAATCAGCTAAAAGAATGCTTCCCTAGATGGGCACTGCTTTATCAAGAGAGACTTTTTCCTTGTTGCCCAACAGCCAGAGTGATAAGATTTTTTTCCTACTGCAAGTCTTCCTCCTGCTCCAAATCCTTTTATTTTACTTCTCAGAATCAGGGAACTGCCAGCCCATTTACGTTTCTGCCAAGCTGTTGTGCAGTATTGGGAGAACAAATCACTATGCAAAAGCTATTTGTTACACGCCCCTTCCTTTTAATCCATTTCTTCTGAACTGCAAGAAATTCATGGCCCATCTTGCCATGTGTCAGAGCTTCCTTTCCTCTTCTGCCAGGATGTATCACAATTCTAGTTAAATTTAAAATGTTTGTAATTCAGTCTTTAGAATGAAGTGGAGAGAAAAAAAACAACACAACCAGAGAGTTCAATCCTGCACTGGTAAATGATCAAGAGGAAATCAAGTAAACAGTTAAAGGAAAGAAAAAACATTTACCAAGGGAGAGTAAAACAAGGTGGCTTTGTTCAGTAGAAGCGAGACCCTTGCAGAATTCAGAATAAAGAGCCGCTGGACAGAAAGAGTACTGCTAGGAATGCAAACAGCAGGCACTGGTCTTCTATCAAAGGGGAGAGCCTGTTGCAGGAGAAAGACTAACACGTCAGCACTAGAAAGTCTGCTGTTCATTATGCGCCTTCTGGGTCACTGAGAACACAGGTTAGGTAGGTTACCCAAGGGCACTGTATTGGAATCAGAGTGCAAGGCTCTGCTCTGAAGTGAGATAACTATTTGGGTATAAGCAGTTGCATTTTCAATGCTTAGTTCAAAATCTCCCGAAGAATCACAATATTTTCTCTAATCAACCATGTAAGAAAAAAGAAAGAAAAAAAGAAGAGCAATTACAAACAAGGTTTTAAAGCCTTTTGCAAGCTGCAAGGGAGACAAATCTAACAGAGAACCATGCAAGGTTACTCTGACCAAGTGGGGTATTTATTTAATCCACATTTTAGCTTTTTATGCATTAGATTCTAAATCAACAACATATGAATGCTCTTGGAAAGATGAAAACCAACCAATCTGTCCTGTTCTTCAAACATTCATGGTCAGAAGAAGAGTCAGACTTTCAAAAACAAGCTATTCAAATTACTGCCTCCAAGGCCTGAATATCTCATGGGATTAATAATTACATTGGGAGTCTTTCACTTATAGGTCATTGTTTCAGGTATAATAGCCACAGCACTTCCTAAAGTCTAAAGATATACATAGGCTACAACCAGCCCCAGGGGTCAGAGTAGTGTTAGCTATGCCTGTGTGAGCATGGAAGAAGAGATTTTCAATTGTGTTAAAGTCAATAAGCTAACTTGACCTTTTCTGGGCACTGTCTCTATGGGCAGGAACAGTTACTGACTGGTAACAGTTTAATAGCCTAACCAAAATGAACCTTCAGCCCTAGTTTAGTTCAGAGGATAGGCATCTACTATTCAAGGCCATCGTAATAAATGGCACTAATTAGCCTCTTTGCCAACAGTGCAGGCAGAGAACAAGCAATAAACAGTCATAGAACAAATACATTCCTTTTAAAGAGATCCCTGCAGCATGAGATGAAGTTCAAGGAAAACATCAGTTAAGACAGTCTAGGCCAAAGATAAATGCAGTTAAAATTCTACAGAACGCGCCCCGCCCACACACCCCCACCCTAAACTGAACACTCTTCCAGACCAATTAGCTTGTCAACTGCTCATAAAAGTCAGTAGAAACAAAAAAACCAAAACCAACCCCACCCCCATCACTAAACCATAGTTGTAAACCAGGATTCCACCAGATCCTATGAAGGGTGCTGCAAGGAAATAAGCAGGTAAAAGCAGTCTCAGATTTGTCCCTGCCTGTCCTGTCCCATCCCGCATCCTTACTGCTGGCCACTCCGCAAAGAGATAAGCACTGTAATATATCAAAATCAGGTGCCACTTAATTCACAAGAGTTATGGAGGGGTGCCTGGAGTCCAAAAATGTTGAGAACCACTGCTCTGAACACTTGTTCAAGCCCAGGGCCCTCAATGTCTTAGCTATCCTAACTATTCAGTAGAATTTGAACTGTTCCTTCCTTAAGGCTTTATTCATGCTACCAAGTCCTTGATAAGCTCTCTCATAGGAAATAAGTCTTCTTTAAAGGGTTTGGTGAAGTTGTCATTCAATGGCACTAATAAGGAAACCAAAACTAAGTAAAAATGGGAAGGGCATCCAGCAATTACTGTTGTAGAATTGTTCTTAATGAACAAGGAAAATTTTCTCTAGTAAGACTATATCTCAGCTTGGTTGCCAAATCATTTGAAAAGTCCAGCAGAACTGAATTTCCTCAATGTGTTAGTTTTGCACAATTCTAATACTTTAACCTGAATGATTTTGTTAAAATAAATACTTGGGGCTTGTTTTTTACAGAAGTATTTTTGGCAATGCTTTGCTCACCTGCAGCATCCACCCCAGAAAGCATTGAGATACAACTGGTAAGTTCTGACAAGTTGTATTCCCTTCCCCTACCCCTTCCCTTACAGGAAAGTAGGGTGGAGAGATGAAGAAACTGATCTAAGGTAAGATTAAGTAACTTCCACAACATCACACAGCAAGACAGTGGGAATTAGACTCTCAAGCCTTTTTAAAATAATACTTTCTTGCAAGCTGCTTTTCTCCTCAGTCATTCTATTAGGGCATGATGTGTAAAAGGAATTAAGCAGTTCCATTTTCAGAAGCAATACAGGCTGAAAATTGGAGGAAGAAAGCATGGTTCCTCGTTCTCTTATGAGTACACAGCATCCAAGATGGTTGTTGGTGCTCAATGTCAAGGGCGTGTGGGCTTCAGAAATGCAGCGAAGGCTGAGGGGGGACCTGGTGACTGTCCATAAACTCACTAGGGGGGACCAGAAGGGTTTGGGAGAGACCTCGTTTCCCCTAGCGCCCCCTGGCATAACAAGGAATAACGGCCACAAGTTGTTGGAGAGTAGGTTTAGATTAGACATCCGTACAAACTACTTCACAGTCAGGGCGGCTAGGATCTAGAACCAACTTCCAAGGGAAGTGGTGCTGGCTCCTACCCTGGGGGTCTTTAAGAGGAGGCTTGATGCCTACCTTGCTGGGATCATTTCAGCCCAGATTTTTCTCCTGTCCAGGCAGGGGGTCGGACTTGAAGATCTACAAGGTCCCTTCCAACCCGACTTCTATGATAAGCAACTATCATAGCTCTCAGAGAAAGATGGAGAACGCCAACTTATGAATAAAAAGAGGATATGGCCATGGTAGAAAGACTGGAGACAAGTTATTACTATGAAACTGAAGAGGACTAGAATAGTTGTAACCAAGGATGTAAAATCTAATTGCATAACCAATGCTTCCTGTAATAGTTTCTATAGTTACTATAGTAATAGTTTCAACTGTTACTCTAAGCCTGCCTACAGATGTAAAAAAAAAACCAAACCTAAAAAGGCACTTTTACTTTAAACTCAACACATTCCCCTTAATCTGTATAGATCAGGCCCCTCAGTGAGGCTTTTTGGAGCTTTTGTCAAAGCCGACTGAATCAGCTTTAGATAAAAGTGCCAAAAAGCCCAGCTGAAGTGCCTGATCTACACAGATGCTAGGGAGCCAGGTTGAACTAATGTGTTTGCTCTTTTGGTAAAGCACTGTTTGTTTGGTTTGTTTTTGGTTTTGTGTTTTTTGTTTGGTTGGTTGGCATTTTTTGTTTTTGTTTTTTTTTTGGCGGGGGGGGGGGGTTTCACATCTGTCAGCAGCCTAAATGACCATCTGACTCCGCAGTAAAATCATAAATGACAAACAATAAATCACCTGCACAATCTCTCTGTGGTACTGTGAAATAATCTTGCCTATCACATTTTGATAGGGCCTGTAACTTCGAATTGATTTTCTTGTTACTAGATAACAGTTACAGTAGCCACTGCAGATACTGTGAAAACAGATTGGTACAAGAGCTTTTAAGCAACATTGCATGTCCTTTATTAAAAGCTGACTTATCAGGAAACTTCGGCTGCCTTAACAAAAGCCCACAAACATTAAAAACCCTGTCTACATTAAGACTTTTGTAGAATTGACAGCAGAGCACCGCTGGAAAAGTTTAACACCT